TAGGAAATTCAAAGACATAATTTTGAGTTACTGAAAAAATATTCAAATTAATATGAATATTCATACATGAACACAAAATTGTAGGGGAAAGAATTACCCAGGACAAAAAAAACTGTGAGAGGCTAGAAATAGTTTAAGATACAACGGAATAAAAAAGATTTGATAATAGAAGTCCATGATCCCTGCACAATTTTACAATAATTATTTCCTTTATATTGACTGTGGCTAAGAAAGAAAAAAAAAAAAAAAAAAAAGAAACCACACAGCTGCCAAGCTGTATTTTTATTCTTCACTAAGAACAGTTGTTTCTTTAGACAGAAAAAGTCTGCATGAATAAGAAAATGCTACTGCCTGATGGGAGCTACATTTAGTGGAAAAGTGAGGTAACAGAAGAAAAACCTGCTTGTAGAGGCCTCTGAACATACGAGGCATCCTGAACTGTAGATGCTTTCAGACACTGATCTTTTATCACTGAAAAGYTGTGTGATCATTCATTCTCCAAGCAGCCTGTTCTTGCTGGTTTGGGTTTGAAAAATGAAATAGGGAAGTTGCATGGTTGTCTTTGACTATACTTTTACTTGGCAGATCTGCACAGATTTCAGAAATTCTTAGTTAGAAAATAATTAGAAAAAATGGAAGAATCTCATTTCCTAATACAGTTTAATTTCCCTTAGTCTTCACAATCTCTTGTACTTTTAAAAAGAATAACCTTGATTCACTACCACATTTATTTTTGCTTGGAATTCTCTTGGATTCTTTGGGATCATCTGTTCCAAACTGCACCACAGCACTTAACAAAACCCTTACAATAAATAGTTATTGAACGGAAGTAGTATACATGTTAATACATAGGAGTTGTAATATACATACACAGTCTTCATTTTGAGTACACCTGTCCTGTTGCTGCTCATTAATACAAAGAAGGCCATATTTATTCCTACCAACTTTTAACACAGCTTCTAACACCATTCCTGCCATGTTCCATGTTCTGCGATTAGCTGCCTCAAACAGGCGATCTGCAAAATTATTCCTAAGAAAAAGTATTGTGCAAAGCTGTTATATGCTATATTAGACAGATATAGAACTATCAGGATTCCATAGTTTTCACAAACCAAGCTAGAATGACATTACACACATGAAGATGTCTGAACTTGTAGTATCTGTGACATCTCCAAGCTGTAATTTTGTCCAGTTCCGCAGTACCACTCCTGACCACTAAAAATACTGTGACATCTTTAGAACAGAAGATGTCCTACTGAATATTTTCCTCTGATTTTTGCCCTGTGTGAATAGCAAAATCTACTTTAATGCTCTGATTTTCATTAACAGGCTTTACAAATGTCACTAGGATTTACAAAAGCATCACCAGTGATCATCAATAAAGCTCATACAGATGTATTTCTGTGTACATGAAGGAAGTAGCTGCTTGTTGAACTTAAGATAATAAAATCTTCCTTGATGTACAAACTGCGAACAACCTCGTATCGACATGCCTGATGTGTATCAAAAGGACTTTAAGTTTTCACAATTCCAAGGCCCATTAGACCATTTCGCTGCATTTTTCCGATCATCGTCTGAGCCACAGATGTTTGGAAGAAAACATATGGCAAATACACAGGAGAGCACAAAATCCCTCGATTCCAGAGCAGTCTTCATCTCTGTCCACTAAAAGTACATTCAAACAGCAGAGTAAATAGCAAGTGGGCTTGTTAAAGAATAATTCTAAATATTTCCAATATAATAGCTGTTAGTGGTAGATGTAGTCTTTACTTTAGAAACTCACAGAGTTCTAAAAGGACATTTGAGTCCTTATCAGTTTTGTTATTAAGACATAAAACTCTTCATAAACTAGATATTCTTTGCTATTAGACAACAGGAAATGTCCTTCTAATCTGATTGAATGTAGAAGGACATGGTTTGAAGACTATGAGCAAGATCAAAACCTACAGTGCTTAATACCTGAGGTCCAACTTCTTAATACAGCTGACTKTGTACTAACTAGGTTCTTTTTGTATTTATTCTTATCCCACATGTTTTGGAGGTAAGAATTCACAGGGACTAATTTATGTGATTTTTGTGAAAATCGACTTCATTATCCGTCTTTTTACTGTCATATTTGTACAGAGACATGCATCGTACCATGATTTTCATCTTACCATGAATTTCCATCTTACCAGACCCAGATTTCACTTTCACTTACTACTTCCTTTTCTGAACTTGGCCTCTCTTAATTAATCAGATATGTAATAGCTTTAGTTTAGTATAGYTTATACTTAGTATAGTTTAATATAGTATAGTTTAGTTATAGTATAGTTTAAAAGTCTTCTCAATGACTTCAATCAAATTTTTGCAGGATTTAAAGTTCAGGCTTTCATTAAAAGTTGTTTTTTGTTTGTTTTCTAATGCCATGAATTAAGGGAGATAACACTCCTGTGACAGGTATCAGGTGTGTTTTATGAACAGACACAGCATTTATGAACCACACAGCATTTTACTGATTTACTTGGGATAAAAATAGAATACAGACTGACAATAGGTTTTTTTAATTTTACTGATAATCAGCAAAAGATTTTTGAACAAAGAAAGATCATTAGTCGTAATCACAGCATTCAACCTAAGTGCCAAAATATGATTTGGAAGCAAGGGAATTTGTGGGAATAAACTCAGGGAGAAAGAAAGCTGGATTTTGTGATTYTTTTATTATTATTATTTAATTATAAAGATTTTACTTTGTAATTATAATTTCTGTGTAACTTGGAACTTTAATTATAGTTTTAACCAAAAGTATTTTGGACTGCAGCACCTTGCAGAAGCAAATGTGTCTTTAAAGCAATGAATTTCTCACTAGAGTCCAATTTTGATCTTTATGTTTTACATAATACATTTTTACTTCACCTGGCAGGTGCTAAACAAATACTCAGTTTCAGTCAACTAATTTATTCCTTTATTTTTCAAGGAACACATTTTTCATCTCTTATCTGCACTTTGTAAAGTACTTTTAGTCCATCATGATTCTTCTGGATGTATCAGAACGATAAAATAGAGCCAAACAAAAAGTCCTATTTGTCCAAACAAAGAGTCCTAGTCACACCRCTGCTCTGATAAGAGACTAGAGGTTAAGAGTTTTCCATGGTAACTTGAATAGCTTAAATATTTTCTGACAATAAGATGATGGATTTTGATTTCAGTTATTTAGGAATAAATCCATTACTTCAAGCAAAGTTCCTCCAAAGATATTCACCCATTCTTGAACCTCTTACACTGGGTGAGAAGGACTTTGTGCTACAAAGGAACCATAACAACTCTGGCTCCAGAAAGAAAGGAAAAAAAAAAAAATAGAAAAAGGTGCCTTTGATGTTGGGGTAAAATATCTATTGACTGTACTCTAAGATAGACAGAATCTGGCAGGCACCAGAGTAGCAGATTTGCTAGAGAGAGGTCCACAGTCAGGTGAGATGTGTTGGGGGTGAAGGCATATAAATGTAGAAAAATATGCCTACTTTTAGCAAATTTGGACTGTTTATACAAATGTTCACAGTAATCTTAGTTACCTTCAAGATGCTTGAGGTTAGTTGSATCACTAAATTTATGGGAAGTGTCATATGATTATTCATATATCTAATCACTTGCTGGACCTGKCTGTTCTAACAACACTGGGCAATTATTCATTAAAGTAATATTTATGGTGCTTTCAGCATATCAGTCATGACATTATCAAACACCTCACTGAGTGGAGTTACATTTGCCTGAATTAATGCAAAAAGTGAAAAATAAGTAGAATTGAAGAATGACTATTTTTGAAGGGAGGAAAATAGGGGGACAATATATCTGCTTCAGAATGGGCATTATATTCATTTTGGCATGGTAAATCTAATTAGTTTGTAACATTTTGAAAACTTTATGAGAACTTTAATTATTAATATCATCAGGCTGAAAAAATGTAGGTTAGGTATGTGGAGAGTTTGGCTCTGAAAGACATTACTTAAAAGCAATCTTTTTTACRTGACTGAGCACATGTGCACACAGATTAGATACTCACACTTTACAATGAGGTTACATTTATAAATAGTTTATAAAGAGTTGATATGCAGCGTAGGCTATTACAGAATCCGCAAGGTCCACGTTTGTTTATAACCATGTATAACACCCTCAAGTATTGTGCAACCAAGTATAATTTATGAGAGTCATATCTGTAGTATTGTTTATGATGTATATTAATCATTTATTAATCCTTTATGAACTATTTATAAGCACAGTCTTAATGGAAAGCATGGCTGACTTGTTACTCCCTTGCACTAGCTTGAAAGAACCAGCTGTGTGGGATTTAAAGGTTGCTTGTCTCTTTGCCCTTTATTTAACAAGCTGAACAGTCTTTAGACAAGACAAGACTCAGTAGCTGCTTCCTTAGAAAAAATATGAAGGTAGAAGGTTGAGATGGGCATTACTAAGAATTCAGAAGAGGAGGCTCTAAATTCAAGCAGTAAGGCTAAACTCTTTTGCTGCACCTCTTCCAGTATTTCAGTAGAGCTATCACAGTTTTACTTCCCGTATTCCATTCTTTACAAAATACCCACACATACTGAAGTTTACAAATGGATTCTTGTCTAATTTGGTTAATCAGACCACCCAAATAGGAGTTATTCTTCTAGGAACTGATCAGAGGAAGGTTGGGGGGAAAATATGCAAATCCATCAGGTTTTAGGATTTCCAGCGGAACATGGGAAATGTAACAGGAATGACAGATATGGTCCAGGCTACTGTAATGTCTGGGAGCAGATCCTGGATTGCAGGATTGTTTTCTATATACTTAAAAAAAAAAATCTGCCTGTCAAGGTGCAGCTACATGAGCTTGCAACAGGCAAGTTCCATTAATCTTCACGTGACAGTACAGCATTTTTGCTGCTCCTTGCTTCTGTCTACCTGCTGAGAAACCTCTAGCTGAGGCAACTAGTAACAGGGTACCATCCCATCATGTTAATTCTTCATTTGTTCTTTTGCAGGAAACAGATCTCATTCTGACTTTTAATATCTCAATGCATCGTTCTTGGTGGATGGAGAATGGGCCAGGCTGCACCGTGACCTCAGTAACCCCAGCCCCAGACTGGGCACCAGAGGATCATCGTTATATCACTGTCTCGGGGTGTTTTCTTGAATACCAGTACATAGAAGTGGCTCACAGCTCTCTTCAGATCTTCCTTGCAGTAAGTACTTATAAACAGGCTCATTCCCAGCACATTTTTTTTCTAGATTTCTTCTTGCAGCACTTTATTTCCAGAAGAGTGGAATATTGTGGCATTGATTTAGAAACCCTGAAACTAGGTCTTACAAGCCCTGCAGTGAAACTCTCTTGTCTTGCAGCTACTGCAAACAACCTGTATCTGAAAAGCTCAGATATATATATTTAATGCTGTAAATTTTGTTGCCATTACCTACTCTCTCTTCCTGGTCTCTGCTTTAACCATTGATCTTCTCAAAATATACTTAAAACAAGTTGCATTCAAATTACACTAGAATATATCAGTTATGAGAAAATAAACAGCTAAGGCTATTGCTATTGCCATGAAAGCCAAAAATAATATGAAAAAGACATTTTTTCATAGTAAAAACAGATGTATTGATCATTTTATATCTCATATCTAAGTAGTCAAAGCCTGATGTTTTCTTAAATCAGCAAAACTGACCATTATTCAATATACCCTTCAGGAGAATTGGAAAGGTTCTTCTCAAAAGAAAAAAAAATGTTATTTGCATGAAGGCAAAAGCAGAAATCTTGATCTTTTTATGAGGGCAAGAATCCAGTGCTACACTGAGGAAAATTTATGAGCGGTAAAAAACAGCTTGTAATGGTTGGGGAATTTAATAGGTCTTAAACAATATTTACCTGCACTAATCATTTTTCTTTCTGATGACTCTGGCTCAGGCGAAAGGTTGATATAAACACAGACTTAATTACACTGAATGGCAAGCTGCTTTTTTTATATAGGGCCTAGTGATGCATACACTTTTATGCCCAGGTGCGGATGTACAGATACCTGATTGCAAATAAAACCATGTCTATATATAAATTTGGTTCAGTGCCTGGGTATATGATTGCCACTATATACATTTTTGTGCAGAAGATTCCAGATTCCAGAGCGTTGTTCAGAGAAGGACAGTACTAGCAAGAGAGGAAATTTAGTTTGCCAGATGCAGGAGTTAATGTAAGGCAGCTGGATAGCCCATAACAGAGAAGAACATGGCCCTCAGCTACCCCAGAGGTGAGCAAGTTCATCTATCTATTCCCCAGTCTTACTGTAAATGGCCAAGTATCAGGTGAGGTCAGGAAAATACATCTCTGTCAATACATCTCTGTGACAGCTCCACATATAAGCAGTTAGTAGCTGATTCACCTGAAAGCGCCGCTACCTCCCTTCATTGGAGTCGAGCTGGACCTCCTCTGGGCTCTCCAGGAGGCCAAGCTGCAGCAGAAAGAAATGGCTCTGATCAAGTTGTTAGCGAGGCAGACACTGGACAGTTCAATAAGATAAAAACAGTCCCTGCTCCAGACAGTTCACAACTGCAGTTTTTGCAAGCTACAACTGATGGAAAAGAGACAAAGTGCAAAGAAACCAGATTGACTAAATAAATACTATCAAAATAACTTTGTAACTTTATTTGCAACCAATTTTTATGACTCAGGCTTACCTTGAAATGAGGTATCCAAGCTTATTTTCTGTCTTATTTTTTGTGTGTAATGAATGATGAACAGGAAACTCAAGGACATGGTTCAACACAAGCACCATGCAACAAGGATTTTTGTGTATCTGTGCCTAAACAGAGCTATGCTGCTGGATAAGGCCATTCTTTGCAAGCTAGGGGAAAGGCTCAGAACAAAAATACATCAGTAATCTGGTAGCTGTAGCCAACTAAAGATTTTTTACATTTCCATTCATGTTACTGTTAATGTGATTATCATAGGTGAAGAGCWATGTGTTAAAAATATAGGACAGTTTTCCAAATCTGGTATTTAATGCTTGCATATACATCATTTTCACTTTTCTGAATGGAGTTCTAATAGAAGTGCTAGTAAAAAGTAACAATTGTGATAAATGTGGTGAGAAACAGAGGAATTACCTGGTACTGCTCCGTGACATATAGCGCAAAGTTGGAAGAGTAGCTATTGCTTAGTTTTCAGAAAACTAGCTTTCAGCAAGCCCAAGTCTTGGATCAGATTTATCTCCAGTTAGTAAAAATAAGTTAATCTTTCCCTTCAATTTTCTTTTAGAGACACTTCAGTGGATCATGCATTTTAACTGTAAAACTATAAATTGCTACCTACAAATTGGTTACATGCTTTCCATTTGTATTTCTGTATGCTCATGGCAATGATCAAGCTAATGTTGATCTTGGCTTTTTGATAGACTGTTAGTGCATTTTTAAGGATGTTTCCTACGGCCTACCGATAAAGGAAATTCCGCTTCACTGAGGTCCACTTATACCAGTCTTTGAAAATGTTATGTTGAGTTTATTTTGTACAGCTTGTTAGCAAGCTCACAAGGAATCCAGCTACAGAAAGTTAGACTCTGTATAGATGTGACAGTTGCTATGAAATAGTTAGTTGAAAGAATATGAAAGGTAACATAAAAGCTATAAAAGCTCCATCATTGTATACTTTCTAAAAAGAAAAGCTGCAGATGGGTTGTTGCATATTTCAAGGACTGCAGAAAGGTACTTTACAGAGCGGGTATAGATACACTGATAAAATGAGGATTATCCTGATTTGGTTATTTAGCAGCTATGTATACAAAACACTGCTGGAATAACCAGTGATAATGGGGCTACAGTTGCTTCCTTGTCCATGACAGAGCACCCATTTCTTTGACTGGCACAGATGAGAGGCCACAGCAATGATAGATCCCATCAGTATATCAACCCAGGCATAAGAGATGTGTAATATTACCATTTATGCACTTTTATACTTGTCTTGTAGCCATTTCCATTTCAGCACATCCTTACTTCTTGCTCAGCTGTTAACTGATTTYGTTTCCTGTTTATGGATCTCTATTTTGAAAAAACTGTCAATTTTTCAATCAGTTCCTGTGATAGTTTCATAGGAGCTTTTCATTCTTGGCATACTTTTCTGAAATGATATTGTACCAAAATCTTAGTGTCACATGCTATGCTTGTCTTTTTTAATTTTGTGCTGCATATCGATACCTCCTATTTGCTTCTTTTCAGACTGAGCTGAGACTCATTGCTATCATTTTATCTCTGTGTTTCCTATAACCTCCTTCCACCAAGTTAAAAAGAAAGAGGGGAAGTTCAAAGYGAGGGAAGGGAAAGCATGAGGGAGGAGAATCTGTTTCATTCTTAAGTGCAGCTTTGCAGCCTGCAGTGCTGCAAAATAAACAAACATATTTTTAGGGCACCACCTGCAGCATGCAGCTGTATTAAACCGAGCAGAACTGCTAAGGTCGTGATTTGTTCTGTTTTGCGTGAAACCCTGAGGAAAAGCCCTGAGAAAAGATGTGGAGAAGACATTTCTAGAGATGACTCCCTTCTTTCCTCCCCCTCCGTTTCCCAACTCTCAGTGAACACATCACTGAATCTGAGAAGGTGAAATCTTAGCTTTGCCAACTTGTCAAAAAATGTTTGTTTGTTTTTTTATCTTTAATGCTGTGTTGATACGTGAGGAAAAATGTATAGCTTCAGCCACAGCAGCCACAGCTAATTCACTTTTTTTTTTTTTTTTTTTTTTTTTTTTGCACAAAGCTAATCCTCCCTGCAGTCTGTGCTCTCGTACTGGGCAAATTCTCCACTTTGCTCATTCTCTCCTAGGCAAGCCCCATTTATGCAGCTATGACATCTGAACACCTGGACCATCCATGTTTTGTGGGTAAACCAAATTTCTGACTGTTTCTGATGCCTACATATTGCCAGAATTAACTGTTCTGGTGATGAAGTGACTCAGACACTCATATGCTCCATATATTATGGTGTCCTTATGTGCTTAATGGTTATTGATTCTTGCTACTTACATCAGAAAAGCTATTTCATTTTGCGAACTCCTGGGTTATCAAGGATGAATATCCTTAAATTACTGATCTCTGGAGATGATTGTTCCAGGTAAAGAATGAGGTCACTTGTAGTAATGGACATGTGATTTGCTACCGGTTTGTGAAATCTGAGTTGCATTCTGCATACCTTCCACAGAGAGGATGTGAAATGAAAGTTCCCCAAAACGATAGGAGAAAGAGCTGCGATTTCAGCCTGGTGAAGACAGTGCTCAAGGTGCAAGGGTTACAAYGAGGAGTGTACACTCCTAACCTTGACATAAGCAACAGAGATCATGGACAGTGTAGGGACCCCAGTGAGCCCACATGGTCAGAAAATGGTCACTAGCTCACAGTTTCACAGGCATCTGCACCCACTTAATGCCCAACTCTAGCTATGGGTCCTATAGAAAATTTTCTTCATATGTGCATTTACCGAACTCTTGTTGTAGAGCAGCAAATGGAAAGTTGTTGCAGTTAAGAGCCTGAAATTTGTTTTGGATCACTGACTTCACCTTCCAGATATACCACTGTGACCTTAAGAAAAGCATTTCACCTCTCTATGCTTCTTGAGTGAAATAGTGAGAAAAGAAAGAATTCCACATTTTTAAATTAAGTGAATTTTAAATTAAGAGACTGTGCCATATGCATAGACAGGGACCTCTTGGAAAAAACACTAAATGTGGATGACACCTACTGCRATAAGACCTTTGTGTGGTACAAGCAAGTTATAATAATAGTAATTGCATTTCTTACAGAAATGGAGCTCAGATTCTCTACATCTTCCTTCTGCCTGTGCTTTTCTCTTTGATTATGCATGACCTGCCCCCACTCCCACAAGGCTTTTCTTGCAAAAGTCGACAAATTAAAATCCATTTGTAGATCAAAACTCTGAAAATATGCAAATAAAAGATCAGCTATGGAGCTAATGTGACAGAATTACATATCTATTTGCCAACGTAGGATTTAGAGTATTTATTATGCTTGTCTTTTACTTCTCACTTACACACTCACGACTCTATTGATTTTAGTGGAACTAAGTGCCTGAGTTATGGGAATAAGACTAATGTGAAGGCATCACCTTAGCCAATTTAGTTTTTAGTTATATAGCCCTCGAAAAGATGAACTGTGTAACATTATTCCAGTAAAACGAGTGGGAAAAGACATTT